ACTACAGAAAATGGGCTTAAAGTGTTAAAAAGTGAACTTCTCCTTTAACTATTGTTACTAGAAATATATGTATTTATGATATATTGCAAAAATATTTATTGATCTGTTATTTATTTATTTATTTATTTATTTATTTATTATGACTTCGATGGCAGCTACAGCTAGGGTTGGTGTTACACTGTAGTTGACCAAAATCCCGAACAATTTTGAAATTCACCCAGACATTTCTTTAGGGATGAAAAGAAGGACGTTTGAAGGATGTTTGGGAAAAAGAGGATGTCTGGTCACCCTACCATATCAACAATTTGATGTTTCAGTGAGTGAGTGCTTGTTGCTGATGCATCTGCTCAGCAGCAATGCTCAACCAACCAATCAGCTCAAGGCTCATCTAAATATTCATGATCATACCATAAAAGGAAGAAAACCTGTCATTTCAATCTAGGGCTTCTAACCAGGCTTGCATTAGGGCTCATAGAACATCAAATATATCATTTTCAGCCCAATCAATGTTACAAACCCTTTTCAGAGACCTTAAGGACCAATACCAAATACCCTATATAATCATTCTATGACCCCTTTAAAATGAGGTGTTATATTAAATATATTATTAATATATTAGTTACATTGCAAGTTAGCAGCTATTTAATGTGTAGGAAATGTTTTTCTGCAGCTAAAGCGGACGATGACATGTCCTACATCGATGTCACCTTCCTACAGGGAGTGCAGCCAAAGGCAAATGCAGGTAATTTCTCTAACTGAAAATAAACAACAGTCAATGCGTGATATTTAAGCAAAAAGCTGTATTTTTTTTTATTTCATATATACAAGGTCCCAACGCAACATTTTCAGATAAAATCTTCTAACCTAACTGTCAAAGGCTGGTCCTAAATATGGTTTGGTTTCACACTTTGTCAATGTTATATTGATGAAGGGCTTTGAGTTTTGTTATGCTTTTTGTTTGTTAGGTCAAGCAAACTACAAATTGAAATAAGTAGCTTAAATAAATATTTAGATGCATCCAAATTTGAAAGAACTGATATTTTAACATTATTCAATGAGGAATGTGTTACCAAATGACACTGCATTGAATGTAAATGAAATATTTAAGTGCAAGAATTATACAAACCTGTCTTTTATTTTATTAATTGCTGAATAAACTGAATTAATCTGTCATTTACAGAAAGAACATCTGAACCACCACTATACTCAACAATCAAATGTGGAACCAGCTGATAGGATCCCACCCGCATTGATCGCTTAAAAATGTCTTGTTATATAATGTTTGTATTTTTCCTGATATTTTTTAAAGAAGACATTCTTCATAATGCTTTATTTTGCATTTCATGTAACCAAGTGTGAAAGTCCTTTACATATCCAAAATGATCTGAAATATCAAAACATCATATCCTATGTATTTTGGGTTAAAATATGACAAAAGTATACATACAGAGAGCATCATGTAGGCTTACAGTTTTTTTCACCATGTGACTTCTATTCTCTGTTTAGTGATGTGCTACAGTGTGATTTCCACTGCAGTGGAGCTTCCCAGAGAATCATTACATTATTTACATTCAATGATTTACAGACTTCAAATAGGTTTTCTAAATTATATTACGATATTAGGATTGTGATAATACGTAATACAAAACATTTAGTTGTCTCCTAAAAAGGGTGCAAGATGCTGTTATTGCATTTTTAACTAAAATAAGTCAACAAATGATAAAGATGACTAATGGCAAAAAAGTTCCATGTAGTTACTGTTCTAAAGGGTCCATGAGCCAGATGAAACCAAAAGCAGTACATCCAAACAAGGTATATGTAGAAAAGTGATGGTAGAAGGCAACTCAGGTTTATTGTATATAGAACAATTCAGTACAAAGACAATTCAAAATGCAAAGTTATTAAGATAAAAACATTATAAAAGGAGATGGTAAAACAAATAAAACAGTTGGATTACGGTTACAAACTCAGGCTTTTAGCCTTTTTACAGTACTCTGGAAGTTTGTTCCATAAAAGTGGAGCACAATGGAAGTTTAGACAATATTTATACACCCGAAGGCCAAATAAAAAAGGGAAAAGAGAAAATTCACTCAAAGGATTTAAACTTAATTTATTAGGTATAATCTTGGATAGAACAGCTCCAAACATAAAATGAATGAAGTATTATATACATTAGCAAAGAGTGAAAAGCATGCAGTGGTGATTTTCTTGGACAATCTGTCATGATGATCGCTCGTACTCCTCCATGAGGGATGGGTCGAGGATGTAGGAACCAGGAACCCACTGGCGATCCTCCGGACCGTAGCCCTCCCAGTCGACGAGGTACTGCCAGCCACGACCTCGCCGACGGGAGTCCACGATCCGGCGGACGGTGAAAGCCGGATGTCCATCGACTTCCAGGGCGGGTGGAGGGGAGTCGGACGGAGGGCACAAAGGGCTGGAGATCACAGGCTTGATCTGCGAGACGTGGAAAGTGGGATGAATGCGAAGAGTCGGAGGAAGTTGCAGTTGTATGGCTGATGAGTTTATGATCCTGGAAATCCTGTAGGGACCAATGAATCTTGGAGAGAGCTTACGGGACATCCCCTTGAGGGGAATGTCCCAAGTGGAGAGCCATACCTCCTGACCAACGGAGTAATCTGGAGCAGGGCGTCTTTTAGAGTCGGCGAAACGTTTGGTGGTTTCCAAGGAACGGTTGAGGGTTGCTATGGTGTCTCTCCAGATATGATGACTGCGGCGGATGTGGTGGTTGACTGATTTGACCGAAATCTCTCTCTCGTCTGCGGGGAAAAGTGGAGGTTGGTAACCAAGACTGACCTGGAATGGAGACTGGCCAGTGGAAGCTGACTTTAGAGAGTTGTGGGCATATTCAATCCATGGGAGATGTTGGCTCCAGTCGGTGGGATTACTGGAGGTCAGACAACGAAGGGAGGATTCGAGCTGTTGATTCATTCTTTCCGTTTGGCCATTGGACTGTGGGTGATAACCTGAGGTGAGAGATGATTTACAATTAAGGGCTGAGCAAAAAGCCTTCCAAACCTGAGAGATGAATTGTGGTCCACGGTCGGAAAGAATCTCCTGAGGGATGCCATGTAGACGGAAGACGTGTTTTATGAGGAGCGGGACAGTTTGAAAGGCCGTGGGAAGTTTCCTGAGGGGTACAAGATGGCAGGACTTGGAAAATCGGTCAACAATGGTGAGGATTGTGGACATACCTCGAGAGATGGGAAGACCAGTAACGAAGTCAATTGCGATGTGAGACCAGGGGCGAGATGGAACAGGAAGTGGATGCAACAGGCCGGAAGGAGGTTGATGTGTGGACTTGTTTCTGGCGCAGGTAGAACAGGCCAGCACATAGGTGACCACCTTGACTGCCGAGGATTGGCCTGTTTGGCGGATTGGATATAGGCAAGGTTCTTGTGATCTGTCCAAACAAGAACCGGGTGTTCTGCCCCCTCAAGCCAGTGTCTCCACTCCTCTAATGCCAATTTGATGGCCAATAGTTCGCGGTCACCAACGTCATAGTTTTGCTCAGCAGAGGAAAGTCTACGGGAGAAAAAAGCACAGGGGTGAACTCTTTGGTCTGTATCGAGTCTTTGAGATAAGACAGCACCAACTCCTGAGTCGGAAGCGTCGACTTCGAGGATGAATTGTTTTGATGAATCAGGCTGGAGCTCTGGAAAACAACATCTTAAGTTTGTCAAATGCAGTTTGTGCCTCGGGGGTCCAT